ACCAGGAACCTCCCTGTGCATCCGCCTCTGGGCCCTTGTGCTAATCTAGCCATACGATCGTTTCCCAGAAGAAAACTAGCCAACATGATGGTGTACACGTTTAAAAAGTCTGACTAGGGGGAGGGTATAGCTCAAGTGGTAGAGCACATGCTTAGCATACACAAGGTCCTGGGTTCAATCCCCAGTATCTCCTCCAAAAAATATATAAGTAAACCTAATTACCTCCTCTCCCCCCAAAATTAATAAATAAAAGTCTAATGGATGCTGCTAAACTGCCTTCTAAAGAAATGGCTCCCCTCTCCCGACCCACCCAAAGGAAAGGAAATGGTGCTCCTAGAAGCTGCAGTTCCTTATTGACAATTTTGAGGGTAGGACGGGGTGGGGGAGGGGCTGTTCTGCATCAACAGGCCACTAAGCCCAGCCCCTCGGAGGGGATCAGCCAAGGGGCAGCCTTGGTGGAGGCCCTGAGGTACCAGGCTTTTGTGTTGCCTGATGGGAGCAAAAGCCAGCCTCAACTCTGTTCCATGATGCGTGGTTCCAGAAGCTTCCTGCTGGGCATTCTGAGAACCTGGGACAAGCAAGAGGATTGGGGTTCCCAGTTAGACTAATATCCTCTGTGAGACTCTTTCCCAATGATGCTCTCATCTTATTTTCACCCTTCCAGAGAGCTGGAGAAAGTCCCCATCACAGATTTCATGTCACCCCTTTCCCAACCTTAAAAGATACCCAGTTCTTTAGGTCCAGATTCTGGTCTTTTTATTTTCTTTTAATTCTCTTTTTAGAGGGGGAGATAATTAGGATATTTATTCTTTTTTTTTTTTAATTGGAAGGACTAGGGATTGAACCCAGGGCCTCATGCATGCTAAGCATGTGCTCTACCGCTGAGCTATACCCTCCCCCAGGCTCTGCTCTTGACTGATCTGCATAAACAGCCCTGGGAGATGGGTCATTACAGTTCATTTTACAGATGAGAAAACTAAGGCTCAGAGAGGTGGAGTGACCAGCCCGAGGTCACACAGCTTATAAGTGGTAGAACTGGGAATCAGACTCGGGTCTGACTTTCAAGCCAGGGCTTTCCCCACAATACCTCCCTTTCTCTTCTGGAAGGCTCATCAGAATGCTCTGCAGGGTCTAGATTTCCAAGTTCCATTAACGTACTGCTATTGGTCACTGTTTCTTTAAAAAGGATGTGGTGTTCTCAGTAGCTAGGCTCCTGAGAAGCCCCTGGTGTGTGGAAATAGCAGGACTCAGGATAGGGGCTCAGGGATTTTTTCTCTGGGCTGTGCCAGCCCTGGGTCCTCCCTCACCATTCTCCCCTCCCTTCCCTGCTGGCCACAACTGGACTCCAGTGGGCTCCTTTGTCTGGAGTCACCTCCTGCAGTTGCTGGAGACGGATGACCCCCTGAAACAGGCCCTTCGGGAAGCCCTCCCTGAAGACGTCCTCAGCCGGGAGTTCCATCCAGAAACCTGGAAGCATTCATCCTATTCCGACGTCACCTTCCGCTCAGGTACGGCCGTCCGGGGTGGGCGCTGTCCTGCCCTGGGACCACAGAGGCTTGAGAAGCTCCGAGTTCTAACTCCTGCGGACATGCCACGTGCTCGATTTTTTGCTATATTCCATAGCACCTGTCATTTTTGTCAGAAAAGGTAAAAATCAGTTAAATGTGAGCCATTTCATAGCTTTCTTCAGGATACTTTCATCTTTTCTCTGAACAGGCTCTTTTTAACTTATTCTAAAAGGAAACTCTCTATCTCTACCATTAGTGGGAGATTAGTTTAACTATAAAACTAAGGTAATCCTGAAGAGAAATACAATGACCCTGACACACTGTTGTTGGATTCCCGTAGATTCTTGCCTGCCGAGGGCTGTGAATTTGAGAACTGCTTTTCCCTTGGGTTAAAAGAGAGATTAGCATCAAATGGAGACGGCTGCCTCCTTGTAATTAAACAGGATCAAAAAGGGACCCCGTTCTAGCTTAGTTACTCGAACCCCTTCAGCTACTTGGCAAGTCTGAACGTGGGGTGGGGCTCTGGCTGCCCCTTCTCTGTCTATCAGCATGGTCGTGACCCTTCTGCCCTGACCTTCCCTCTGCCCTTGGTAAGGCTTAAGTCCGAGCTTCTTATCCTGGCCGAGAGGGTGCTCCACATGTCTGGCCCTGTCTCAGGCGACGACCCCTCGGTCACAGGGCCGGCCCTGTGAGCCGTGTAGTGTATACTGATCCTCTCTTCCAGCATCGGGCAGCCTGGGAGCCAACCTGGAGGGGACCCTTCTCTTCTCGCCTGCCTCCTTCCTCCCCCGTTCTGCCACAGCCAACCTGACCATCCACGCCCTTGGTCGTGCCTTCAACCTCCTGGAGGTAAGAAGGGGCCTAGCTTCACTCTTCTCAGGGCCTCTCCAGATATGATCCCATCCATCCATCTTTCCATCCATCATCTCTTGAATCTATTGATCTACTCCTGTATCTTGTATCCTGCCATCCACCCATCCGTCTATCTGCCCTTCCACCCATCTGTTCACCCACTCACGCATCCATACATCAACACCCAGCCCTACTTCCCTCCCTCTTTCTGTCCCTCTCACCCCATCTCTCTCCACCTACCCTCTTACCAACCTGTTTATTCCCCTAGTCATACACTCATCCACCCACCCACCCATTTCACATACCTATTCATCTATCTATCTGTCCATCACCCCATCAATCATCTATCCATACATTCATCTGTTCATCTCATCCATCCCTCTCATCCATTTATGTACCTTCCCACCCATCTCTCCGTCTACCCTCTTACCCACTCATCTGTTCATCTGTTCTCTCAGTCATCATGCATCCATCCACGTATTCACCCACCCACTCACCTTAACCCATCCATCCACACTTTTCCATACATCTATACATGTGTCCATCCATCCACCCATCCATCCATCCGTTCTTTTGTCCTCATCCATCTATTCATTTATGTACCCTTCTACCCATCTCTCCATCTACCCTCTTGTCCACCTATCTATTCATCTACCCTTCCACCCACCCACCCATCCATCCATCCATCCACCCGTCATCTATTGCACACATATCCTTCTACTTGACATGTGCTGTGTACTGGGCTCTGATTAAAATGGCGAACAAGAGAGACATAATCCCTGCCCTCTTCCATCTCTTCCGCCCAAGTCCCTGGAGCTTATCTGAGGGAGGGTGCTCTGTGCCCTATCCCAGCCCCTTCTAATTTATGGAGAATAGGGAACCTATCATCGAGACTTGGCCAACTGGGTGCCTGGGCTTAGAACTGCCAAGGGCTGACCCTCTGGTGATTTCTCCACAGATGCTCTCAGAGACAAGAGGATAGGAGGATGGAAGGAAAGGTGTGTGGAGGGATAAAAGGTTGTGTGGATGGGTGGAAAGGATGGAAAATGAGTGGACAGATGGGCGGATGGAGGGGCAGATAGAAGGAAGGAGGGACTCATTCATTCATCCATCAGATTTTGAGAATCAACCAGATCATCGGTTAGTCAGGACTCTCCAGAGAAATAGAACCAGTGGGATTATGGAGGCTGACAAATCCCAGCTCTGCACTCAGCAAGCTCGAGACCTAGGAAGAGCTGATGGTGTAGTTCTTGTCTGGAGGCAGGGGGAAAAATAAAATAAAACAATGTCTCAGTCTGGAGGCAGTCGGGGAGGAGGAATTCCCTCTTATTTGGAAGAAGGTCAGCCTTTGTTTCATTCAGGACTTCAACTGATTGGATGAGGCCCACATTATGGAGGGCAATCTGCTGGACTCAGTCTACTGATCTAAATGTTAAACTCATCCAGAAATGCTCTCACAGAAACACCTGTAATAATGTGTGACCAAATATCTGGGCACCCAATGGCCCAGCCAGGTGGACACAGAATTAACCTTTCCACCAAGCCTTGAGTGTGCTTAGTGAAGGAGACAAGGGTCCTCATGGAGCTCAGGATTTTGCAAGAGACACGCACAGATTAGTCTGAGTGTGACCTTGGAGTGGTGTACTTGACAGAAGGAGTGATGAATTTGGCTGGGGATATGTGAAGGGAATGATGTGGGAATTCAGAGAAGGCTTCCCAGAGGTGGTGACATTTGAAGCAGGCCTTAAAGAGTCTGTAGAAATTCTTGCTATGTGGCATTTGCCAAGCAGATGTGGAGCTGGATGATTTCCCAAGATCGTGCCTCTCTATTTGGACCTGGATGGACCCTGTGGGCCCAGGGCACCCTGGTCAAGCCTGCTGGACCCCCTGTTGAAGCCTCCAGCCCCACAGTTCTTGATTACCCTTGTGACTGGGTCACCTCTTGCTGGGCCTCTGGCTTTCCTTCCCAGCTGGGGCTCCGGCTGGAAAATGCTGAGGAAGTGGCTCGCAGGCTGTTTGGCCGGAAGGCATCCTGGGGGCAGGAAGAGGAGAGACAGGCCCAGTCAGAGAAGCCCCCCGTGTCAGAACCAGGGCCCACCCCAGAGCCGGCTGACTCCGACTGTCCAGGAGAAAAGTCCGGAAAGATGAGAGACCTGCAGCAGAAGGTAAGGGAAGCGCCCGCGCCCACCCCAGGGTGCTGTCAGGTGCCAGCTTGGGCTCTGGGGACTGGGGACTCAGGCGTCAGTGAACTCTGACCCTGCCCTCCCACCCCCTACTGAAACCAGTTGCTGGTCCAGATCCGAGCAGTGAGCTGTTGTCCCGCCTTATTTTGAAAAACCATTTATTGAAGTATCACATACATAGAAAGGTGCCCACCTCGTAAGTGCATTTAATACTCTGCATTTCCACCAACACAACACATCCTTCTAACCAGTGCCCAGACCATCATCAGCACCCTAGAAGCCCCTTTCTGCCTCTTCCTTCTAGTTTATTCACCCATCAACCAAGGGTAGCCACTGTTCTGGCTCCTAACAGCATCAATTAGCTCTACTTTTTAAAAATCAGCTTTGTTGAGGTATAACTGACCTACAATAAATGAGATGTGTTTAAAGCGTGCAAGTTGATACGTTTTGACACGTATACACCAAGAAACCATCACCAGCCAAACCAACATATCTGCCACCCCAAAGATTTCTCCCTGCTCCTTAATCCCTTCCTCCTGCCCCACCCCTGCCCCTACTGAGATCGGCTTTTTCTATCACAGTAGATTGGTTTGCATTTTCTGGACCATTACGTAAATGGAATCACAAGGCAATACTCTTTTTAAGCACGTACTCCTTTTTGGTCTGACTTCTTTCATTCAGCGTAAGTATTTTGGATTTCATCCATGTTGTAGGTACAGTTTCTTCTCATGGCCAAGGAGTAGTCCGTGGTATGGCTGGACCACAGTTTGTGTATGTATTCACCTGCTGATGGACGTTTGTGTTATTTCCAGTTTGGGGCGGTTACAAATAGGGCTGCTGTGAGCATGTGTATTCAGATCTTCATATGAACATGTGTCTTCATGTTTCTTGGGTAAATAGCTAAGAATGTGATACTTGGATCACGTGGTAGTTGTATGTTTAATTTTTTAAGAGTTAGCCGAACTGTTTTGCCAAGTGGCTGCCATTTTGCACCCCCACCAGCAGTGCAGAAGAGCCCTAGTTCCTCTCCATCCTCACCAGGATCAGCCTTTTTAGTTTCTGCCCTTCTAATGTGTACAGTCATATCTCGTGGCTTTAACGTGCGTTTCCCTAAGGCTACGGATGCTAAGCACCTTTTCATGTGCTTATTTGTCATCCATGTGTCTTTGGTGAAGTGAATGTTCAAATATTTTGTCCTTTTTAAAACATTGGATTGGTTTCTTATTACTGAGTTTGGGCCTTTTTGCTCTGTTCTGAACACCAGGCCTTTATCAGATATGTGACTTGCAAATATTTCCTCCCAGTGCACGGCGTGGTCTTTCCATTCTCTTCACAGTGTCTTTGAAGAACAGAGTCCGTGGATTTTGATGAAGTCAAGTTTGTCCATTTCTTTTATGCATAGTGTTTTGGGCGTTCGCTCTTAGAAATCTTTGCCTAATGCAATGTTACAGAGATTCGTAGGACCCCGTGGAGATCTCCAGAATTCTCTCTCAGTGTGGCTCTTTCCTCTTCTGTACTCTGCCCGGCACAGCCCAGCCACCTTGGTCTCCCCGGACTCCCACATCCTCGGCTCCCTGCCCTACCCTCTCTGCTCCCCTCCCAGCACCTCAGCCTGAACTCTCTCCAGGTAGGAAGCTAGGGCGCACCTTGCTTGTTCCCTGTCTCATGGGTTCATTGTCTCCTGTTACCTGGTGTCTGATGTCTTGGGAACTTTTATTTAATCTGTACCATCTGGGTTTCTGGTTGCTTCACATGGGAAGATAAATCCAAGTCCTTGTTACTCCAATCTGACTGGCAGCAGAAGTCACATCCAGTTCCTTTCATGAACTTTATATAGATGGAATCAATCACCATGTACTCTTTTTCTAAAAAAAAGAGATGAAATATAACATAGCATCACATAACATAAACGTCACCGTTTTAAAGTATACAATTCAGTGACGTTTAGCACATTTCACAATGTTGTGCAACCATCACCTCTATCTCGTTCCAGAACATTTTCATCACCCCTGGGAGACCCCACACCCATTAGCAGCCCCTCCCCCAATCCCACCTTCCCTGGTCCCTGGCAACCGCTAATCTGCTTTCTGTCTCTGGATTTACCTTTTCTGGACATTTCATATAAACAGAATTAGACAATATGCAGCCTTTTGTGTCTGGCTTCTGTCACGAAGCATATGTTTGAGATTCCTCTGTTGCAGCAGGTATCAGTACTGCGTTCCTCTCTAAGGCTGGGTGATATTCCATTGTGTGGATGGACCACATTTTGTGTGTCGCTTCATCCGCTGATGGACTTTCAGGTGGTTTCTACCTTTTGGCGATTGTGACTAATGCTGCTCACATCCTCCTTTTTTTGGGTCTGACTTCTTGGGCTCAAAATGTGTTTGTGAGATCCATCCATGTTGCTGTGTATACCTGTGGTTTGTTCCTTTTTCTTGCTGTGTTGTGTTCCATGGGGTGAGCATATCACAATTTCTTTATCCATTTACTTTTTAATTTTAGTTTTAAATTTTATTTATTTATTTATATTGATTGATTGATTGATTGCTGGGGGAGGTTATTAGATTTATTTATTTATTTTTTAGAGGAGGGACTGGGGATTGAACCCAGGACCTCATGCATGCTAAGTGTGCACTCTACCACTTGAGCTATACCCTCCCCTTTATCCATTTACTTTTGATGGCTTTTGGGTAGTTTCCAGTTTCTGGCTGATTACAGGTAGTGTGGTGAACATTCTTCTGTTCATCTCTTTGGTGAATGTGTGTGCACATTTCTGTCCAGCATGTACCTAGCAGTGGAATTGCTGGGCATGATGTGTGTATGTGTGCATGTATGTGTGTGCACTTGCGCTTAGCCTGCTTTCCCACTTCATATTGTTACTTGAGTATTTTCTTACTGAAAACTCGGTGTATGCATACATTTTAATACCTGTTCTGTGGGTGGAGACTGTACATAACCACTCCCCCATCGGTGGACATTTAGGTTGTTAGCATCTTTTGTTCTTATAAATTTCATTTCCGCGTACATCTGGGGGTAATAATTAAGGTGGTGATTGGGGCATTTGTTCACATGTCCACACGTTTACTAACCACCAGCTGTGACCCCAGAGCCCGAACACAGAGATGGTCAGAACATGGTCCCTGCTCTCATGGTCGCTCTTGGACTAGATCTGGGGCCAGCGGGTAACTTGAATGCGAGTGGTGGGCTGGGTGTAAACATTTTTCTTAGAATCCACAATCCCTTTGGTCTTTTATTTTCTCACTTTTGATCGAGACTCACATCCCAAGGTATATTTTGCACAAGCACAGTGATGACTGGCAACAGTACTTGGCTTCGGTGTTGGAGAGACAGTAGGGAGTGGTGGGGACTGTGGCAGACGGATGTGTAGCACAGGCCTCAGCTCCAAGTGGCAGCCACTGCTCAGCTCTGAGCACTTGTTGCCCCTTGTTGAGGCAGGAGCTGGAGCCGGGTGGGGGAGACACGCCAATATTTCTCTTTGTTGAGAAGCTGGGTATCCAGATTTTATATAAAATCTTTCAATTTTTAAATATTAGAAACAAATTTTGAAAAATACACACTGCATGAGAAACAAAGAAAGTCCAAGAAACTATCATAAACCGGGGAAAACTGAAGAGACACAACACTAAATGCCATGTGGTACCTGGATGGGATTTTGGAATAGAAGGAGGATGGAATGGAAAAACTGGCGAAATCCAGATAAAGTCAGGAGTTTAGTGAATAACGTGCTAGTGCTGGTGTCTTAGTTTTGTAAGGTGTTAACAATGGAGGAAACAGGGTGAGGGGTACATGGGCGCACACGCACACACACACACACTCTCTCTCTCTTCTCTCTGCATTGGGCATTGAGTAGACCTTGCAAGTCCAAGAAAACACATTTGTGGGTTATGCCTGTGGGCCATGAGTTTTGCAAGCCCTGTTCAGGACCCCACAAACCCTCGACCTTTCTCTCAAGCTCCCCTCCACCCCCTGTCCCAAAGTCCAGGTGCCTTGCCCGGCTAACCCAGACTGTTTCTGGTCACAGGTGACCCAGAGGCACAGGGAGCGGCAGGCGCTGCGATGTGAGCTGAGCGTGAAGGTCTTTGGGCACGAGCTGAGCTTTGTCAGCTGCGGGAAGATAGGGAGCCACGTAAAACGCCAGTCCCTGGACCTGGCCGAGCTTGCCGTCAAGCTCCTGAAGGTACCTCAGGCTGGGCTGGGCTGCTCCTTGCCCTCTGGTCCCGTGATGTTTCCTTTGATGCTTTGGAGGAGAAGTAAAGTACTTCCAAACTGAAGAGCATGGAATTTGGAGCCCGATGGCCCAAGTTAAAAAACTGGCTCCACCACTGACCACATTGGGAGTATTGTTTAACTTGCCGTGGTCTCAGTTTCTGCATCTGTGAAATGGGGATGGTGTAATAGTAATAATATCGGCTTCATAGAGCTGGTGAATCAAATGACTTAATGCAGTAAAAATGCAACGAAGTGCTTAGAGCATGCCTGGCACATTCTAAATGCTCTGGACCATTAGCGGGGCCCACACCGCCCCTTCCCTGACCGAGCCTGCATCCCTGACCTCTGACCTTTTCCCATAGTAACATGTCTTGGTTCAAACCCAACTCTGCCTGTTTCTAGCTATGTGAGCTTGGCTGGGTGATTGTATCCGTGAGCTGTTTTCTTATCTGGTCATATGCACTGTTCCGGTTCTCTGATGCAGGGACAGGAGGTGCAGGTGAACCGGAGGCTGACCCTGGCCATGGAGGAGCTCACCTTTCCCACTGTGTCTGGCCTCCCGGCCCGGCTGACCCTAAATGCCTCGGCTGCCATCAGCATCCGGGTCCGAGGGACAGCCGACTTCCAGCAGCGCTCAGATTTCTCTGTGAACGGTTATGTCGAGCCCAGGTAGCTGGCTCCGCAGAGCTGGGGGAAGAGTGTGGTGGGGGGCTCCCTCTGCAGAGGGCTGGGGCATCAGCGTGGGCTGGATGGGATCCCGGCTCTGCAGACCACCCAATATACCACCTACTGTTGATTGGGTGTTTTTGTGCCAAGAGACTGTGAGGAGATCCTGAGTGGTTATGCCCACTTTGCAGGTGAGAAGACTGAGGCTCAGCCAGGTAGAGGTCACGTGCCCCAGGTCGCACAGCAGGGTGAGGCAGCTGGGATTCCAGTCTAATGCCACAGCCCTGCTCTTCCCTCTGCCCCTTCTGCCTCCATAGGGAGGGGAGGAGGGGGAGGGAGGAGCATTTAAGGCACACGGGCTCCGAGCCCTCTGAACCCATATGGCCACGCGCAAGGCAGGCACTTTTCTTATTCCCAGTAAGGGTGGAGGAAACAGACTCAAGGCGGGTACACAGCCAACCCAGAGCCACAGAGTGCAAAGGGTTTTGAATAGAATTTGACGGTACTCACTGGACTCCAGGGTCTGTCCCAGGCCTGCCGGGCGACTGTCCTGGCCACTAAGCTGCCCTCGCCTCGGTTTCTGGGTCTGACGTGGGGAACGTGGGTGTCCTGTGCTGGCTGCTGTTTGACGTGGTCCTTGGCCGGGAATTCTAGAACTGGCTGTTCCACTTCCCAATGATGGGACCCAAGCGGGTGGCATCACCTCTCTGAGCCTCAGTTTCCCCTTCTGTAAAATGATGCTGGTCACGACGAGACTGGTTGGGTGGCGTGCGGAGGGCTTGGCGCACATGGAGCACATGTCAGTGGTGGTCGCTTGGAGGGGCTGCTCTGGCTCAAGACCGTGGAGCCCAGCCAGGGTGACGGGTGGGTTGGCCACTGCCTGGGCCTGCAGGGTACAAGCCGGTGTCTGCCTCTCCCTCAGCGCCCTGCTCCAGATCTCTGCGCAGATGGGCACGGTGGGCACCCTGGGGAAGGCCGGGCTGAGGTGGGTGACCGGCATCCGCAGCACTGCCAGCCTGGACGGCGGGATCCGGGCGAGGAAGGGCCAGGACCTCAAGGTGCATCTGAACACGCCTGAGGAGGCCGTGGAGCTGCTCCGCTTCAGGTGGGCTCCTGCAGGGTGGGGCGGTCTGGGTGCTGCCTGAGGGCTTGTGTGCATGTGTGAGTGTGCACATGATCACCTGTGTGTGCATGGGCACCCATGTCTGGCCGCCTGTGTCTGTCAGTCTGTGTATGTGAGTGTGTGCCTGTGGGCGTATTCGTGTGTGCACATGTCCGTGAGCACGGTGTGTCTGTGTGTGTGCACGTGTGTGCGCGTGGTCAGGGTGGGGTGGGCATGTCAGTGACAGGAACTGAGGGAGGCCGAGAGGTGGGGCGTTCCCACACTCCTTAGCTCTTTATGGGGTTCCCTTATGGGGCCTGCTTGTCCCCCGTCTCCTGGAGAGGTGACACTTGGAGAACAATGATTCAGAGGAAACGGGAGAAGCCAGGCTGCCCCCACCTCACCTCCGGGTGCTTCCTTCCCTGTGTCCCACCCTAGCTGGAGGCTCTGTCCTCCCTGCTGCCACCTGACCCTCTCCCAACAGCAGCCAGTGGGGTCTGTTAAAATGTCAGTTAAGTCCTATAAACCACCCCCAGTGCCACACCCCTGTTTCAAGTCCCTTGCTTGCTTCTAAGATAACCCAGGTCTACATGCTTGTCCTGTCTGATGGAGGCCCTGCCCACCTCTCTCACCTGTCTCCTGCCACTACTTCCTGCCCCTCACTCACTCCCCCACTCCATTCTTACCCTCTCACATCACCCTTCTTTCTGTGCTCCTAAAGAGCCCCTTCACTCCCACCCCAGGGCCTTTGCACCTGCTGGGTCCCTCTGTTTGGAATGCTGGCTCTTTCGCATCCTTTGATTCTCTGATCAAAGGTTACCTCTGCAGAGAGCCTCTGCCTGCCCCCCCAACAGACCCCCAACTAAAGAATGCCCTGCCCTGTCCCCATGCTAGACACTGTGCCCATGCAGCCCCCCATTTTAGGTTTTTCATAGCGCTTGTCACCCTCTGTATTCATGGAGTGTCTCCTCCACCAGCATGAAGACTCCTCAAAGGCCTGTCCTGTTCCTAGTGGGATTGGCCCCAGTGCCAAGCTCTGGTGGCTTTAGGAATGAATGAAAATGACTTGCCTGGCACTTTCCTCCTTCCCACCTAGCTCTAAGCTGTATCTCGTCACTGGGGATGGTGTGAGGAGCCTCAGTCATGTTCGCAGCTCTTATGAGGCACAGTCCTGTACCAACAAGGAAGGTAGGCAGCAGGGCCTCTGTGTCATTGTCCAAAGATGGGTATCCTGGGGACTGAGGGGAAGATCGGGTTCCAGATTCCAGAGTTCCTCTTCTGCCCTAAAAAGTATTTATGCCCCTTAACTCAGTGGTTCTGCTTCTAGAATGCTACCTTATGACAATAAACCAAAATCACTTTAAAAATGCCCTGTGCACAAAGATGTTCATTGCATCATTATTTACAGAGCAAAAAAATAGGAAGCAGCTCAAATACTCAACAGTAGGTGAATGGCTTATTACAAGGGCCTGTGAGCTAAGAATCAGCTTTTCTTTACATTTTTTCGAGTGCTGAAAAATAATCCAAAGATGAGTATATTGTAACATATGAGAAAAGTGTGACATTCAAATTTTAATGTCCAGAAATGAAGTTTTTTATTGGTACAGAGCAACACCCATTGTCTGTGGCTTTTGTTTGACAATAGCAGTGTTGAGTAGTTGTAACAGACCGTATAAAGAGCAAAACCTCAAATGTTCACTATCTGGCCACTTACAGAAAACATTTGCCAGCTCCTGGTTTAGTAAACTGTTGAGATGCCCTGTAACTTTTAAACCCTATAGCAAAAGACCTATTTTAATAGCACACATTCTTTGATAATAACATCAGGTGAAAGGCAATGAAATTGAAAAAGGGAAGGAAACACACCAAACAGTCACAGATCTTGGAGTCATTTGAGGGCTTAGGTGGGGGGAGGGGCCTACTTAAATTGTTACTTTAGGCTAAACACTGTCCTAGACACTTACTGCGCTGTTAATCCTCACAGCTACACCATGGGACGGGTTCCAGTTTATAGATGAGAGACACCAAGGCACAGAGATGTTAAGTAATTTGCCCAAGGTCACACAGCCAGGGAATGGCAGAGCTGGGATTTGGATCCAGGCAGTCTCACTCCAGAGCCTGTATTCTGCACGGTACTACCTGACGCTGATCGTCTACATTGTCCTCAACTGGGGGCGATTTTGTCACCCAGGGGACATTTGGCCATACCTGGAGACATTTTTGGTTGTTATAACAGGTGTGGGAGGTGCTACTGGCGTCCAGTGGGTAGAGTCCAGGACAGCTTCCCACCACAAAGAATCATCCAGGCCAGTATGTCAGCAGGGCCAGTATGTCACAGGCCTGCCTCAGACTATTGATGTCTACACAATACTGTTTCTCAAAAGAAAATAGGGGGGCAGGTATAGCTCAGGGGTAGAGTGCATGCCTAACATGCACAAGGTCCTGGGTTCAATCCCCAGCACTGCCATTAAAAATAAATAAATAAACCTAATTACCTCCCCACTCCCGAAATTAACCTAAACAAAGAAAATAGAGAAGCTCTTTCTTCCCTGATGTGAGCAGCCCTCTGACTCTCTACTGACCAGTGCTGCCTGCTCCCCTGTGTGTCCTCAGTGTCCCGCATCTGGGGCTGGCAGCTGTGCACTGAAGTCAGCTGGCCAGCAGCTGGTCAGCCCTACCTGCTCTCAGTGCCTGTGTTTGTGGCTGTGATGCTGAAGAAACAGGACCGGGGGCTCCGACAGTACCTGCTGGAAGCTGCCTATATGCTCCGCACTCAGGTAAGCCCTATGGAATTTCCAGCTGGGTTGCAGGTCTCCCGAGGTCTTATTACTCAGGGATCATCCTTGGGGATCACTCTTAAAGACATGGGCCTCCTCCCTGGAGCCCTTGGGCTGGACGTCTGCTGTAGACTCCCTTCTGCCTCAGGACCCTTGCATATGCTGATCCTGTCTCTGGCTCTAGGACTTGATAACTCTGAATCAATCTTCATAGCTCAGTCAAGGGGTCACCTCCTCAGTGAATCCTGCCCTGATTGCCCCAAAGTGGTCATGTTCTTTTTTTATATGCTCCAAGAGGACCACGTTCCTTCCCATAGATCACTTTTATGTTAATTAATGAAGCTAGTTGATTAAGTCACTCGGTTCCTGGGAACAGATCCAGTGCTGTTTGTCTCAACCCTGTGTCCCCAGCTCCTGGCACAGAACAGGCACTCAGTAGCCTCCTGTCTGATCTCTCAATTTCTGCTCTTGTCTCCTTATGTGTTTTCCACCAGCAGCCAGACTCCAAAATCCCAAAAGCATGGTGTCCCTCCTCTGCTCAGAACTCTCAGTGGCTCCTGTCACTGTAGAAGCCAAGCACCCTGACTGACAGGCCCTCAGTGGTCCAGCCATGCTGGCCTCTCCTCCCCATCACCCCAACTCATCACACTGACCTCCTTTTTAAAAAAATACCAAGCACATTGCTGCCCCAGGGCCTTTGCACTCACTGTTTCTTCTGCCTGGAACACTCTTTCCCAGACATCCACTTGATTCCTTCCCTTGCTTCCTTCAGGTCTTATCAAATGCCCCCTCCTCAGGAACAGCTTCCCTCCCTGACCACCCAGTCCAGAACAATGACCCCATCAGGATCCCTGACCCTCTGACCTTATCAGCAGAGCACTCAGCACCCCTGTCTGCCATCTCACCTCCTTCTGTGTCTGAAGCTCCTGTGCCTCCCCCTCTAGAATGTCGACACCAGGAGTGCAGGACTTTGTGTTTCAGTCCCAGTCCCTGTGCTTACAGCCGTGCCTTGTGCACAGTCGTGAACATTTGTTGGTACCGAATGAGCGCACAGTGATGCAGGATTTTAAAGGGGGCTCATGTCATAGGCTGCATTTTCCGGGAGGCAGACCAGAGCCAAGGATTTGAGTAAAAGTGATGGATGGAGAAAAGACTCCGGAAGGACCCAGTAGGAGGGTGCAGGAAATAGGATAGGGAAGGGGAAGATGCTGAGTGGGAGTGGTGGCAGGTGAGGTGGCAGCCTTAGCCTGGTCCCTGTGCAGCCCTGGAGCAGGACTTCCATCTCAGGGTGTGGTTCCCTTGAGGCTAAAGAGCTGGGATGTTTTTCACTCCTGTGCCAGAGGCAATGCTCTGGAGGTCCCAGATGCCAGGCATTAAGAGCAAAGTGCACAGAAACTGGGAGATGAGCCCGCAGAGCTGGTTGAGGGGTCTGAGGGGATTTGGGCAGCGGGCTGATGGTGTGCGCTGCGCCTTCACCACGGCTGTTCAGTGAACGAACTGAAACTCTGCCCCAGTGGTCCTGAGTTGTCCTGAAGGACTCTGCTCTCCTCTAGGATAATACTTTAGCTCCCCAAATTTCCTGTTTGGGGATTTTTGGGAGCTTAAGGATGAGCATAAGAACTTAAGATTTTGAAGGTGGAGAAGCCTCAGGACCTGGATGGGTTCTTTATCTTGGGGACTTGTCTGTGTTTCCAGAAGGACAGCTGGCTCCCTCAAGAAGCCTCAGCCCACCTCTTCATGGGCACGCCTAAGTCAGAAGTGCCCCGGGATGTCGGGGTGGACGTCAGCTACAGCTGGCCCCAGAGGAAGTTTCGGCTCAAGCTTCTCCATCCCAAGAAGAAAATCGAACTGGATGGTAATGACAGTGCCCTTTCCCGTCACCATGCCTGGGGCCATGTGCCAGAGCCAGGCAGGGCTGGGTGCCCGCAGCACCCCACCTTCTGAGGTCGGCGTTCTCTGTAGCCCTGTTTATGGTCAAGGAGCCACAGGCTGACAGATGAGGAAGCTAGCAGGATGCCCCAGATCCAGGATGTTGAACCTCAGTCTCTAAGCTCTTGTTTTGTCTCTCAGGAAAGATGGAGACTCTCCAGAGTGCTCGCTTGGGTTACCTGGAACTGATACTGGATGACAGGGATGTCTACTACATCAAGGTTTGCTCCCTGTCCTCAGCTCGCCCTGTCGGCACCTGCCCACCTCCCCGGGTACTTCCAGCCCCAGTCTCTGCTTAATAATCGCCACCTCCTTTGGTGTCTTAGCTGTGTTTCCCCTTCCCCCTCCCAATACCATTTGTGGCTTCTTGTTACCCAGAAGAAGGAAAAATGGGCTCAGATCTCACCATCACCAATGTCAAAAATTGATAATATTAATAACTCAGGAGTATGCTTTCAAAAATTCAGAATAGAGAAAGGTGTAAAATGCCAGGTTAAAGTGTGCCACCCCCCAGATTTCCAGAAGAAGTGTCAGGTGCACACCAAGAAATGTGTCTGAGTTTCCCAGGGCTGCCATAACAAGGCACCTCAAATTTGCAGGGATAGGGTGGATGGCTTCAACAACAGAAATTTCCCTCTCGCAGTTCTGGAGGCTGGAAGTGCAAAATCAAGGTGTTGGCAGGATTGCTTCCTTCTGAGGGCCATGATGGAGGGTCTAGTCCACGCTTCTGTCCTGGTTTCTAGGACCCTCAGGCGTTCCTTGCCTTGTAGATGGCTGTCTTCTCCCTGTGTCTCTGCCTTGTCTGCCCTCTGCAGGTATCTGTGTCCACATTTGTCTCTTTAATAAGTCTACCAGTCCTGCTGGGCTCGAGCCCACCCTAATGACCTCATCCTCCCTGGATCATCTGCAAAGACCCTGTTTCCAAATAAGGTCACATTCACAGGTGCTGGGGACCTCCGCGTCTTTGAGGGGGAAGCACAGTTCAACCCATAATACTATAGATTTGCAAAACCTTTTAGTTTTGAGCTTAATTTTTGTTTGTTTAATATGAAAGGATCACACCCTGCTCTTTGTTTACATCTTGCTTTTTTGCTTTTTTTTTTTAACTCAAAAACATATCTTGGCAATCTTTTTATACCAGCCTGTGCTGGTACAACTTAATTTAGTTAAAAAAAAAAAAGGTAAGTGCATTTAAATGATTCCAAGTTCAAAGAATGCAGAAAAGTCTAGAACTGAATGGCCAGTATGGTGGCTCCTATCACATGTGATATTTATTTATGTAAATATTTTATTTTATTATTATTTTTTTGCCTCATGGGGGGGTAGTTAGGTTTATTTACTTTTTTTTTTTTGGAGGGGGAATATTTACTTATTTCAGTGGAGGCACTGGGGATCAAACCCAGGACCTCGTGCACACTAAGCACGCACTCTACCACTTGAGCTATACCCTCCCCCCCTGCATTTTGCTCCTAGTAAGTACTTTTTAAGGTTCTCAACTAGGCGGACCTGGATGGGATTCATTGGGTCTGTTGAAGTACCTGCAGTTGTATGGTTTTGTGTCTGTCCACCCTTCTGGGGAGAGGATTTAGACCTTAGATCCGATGCTCAAGCAGGTCTGTGACTCCTAAAAGGGTAAAAACAGCTGCTGTCGACTCCCTCCTGCCAAGCAGGACTTTTGGGTCCCTCTGGCAATGAGTCTGCCGAGTCTGCATCCCCTGTGGATCCTCAGGGAGGTCCGGTACGGAGAACCTGGGCTGGAATTTTTGCTGCGTAAACACACTCTCAGCTCCCAAATCCGCTTCCTGCCCAGGGTGGGGAGAGGACCAAGTGTCAGGGGAGAGCATCTTCCTCCGAAAGCCCCAGCTGCCTGGCAGCTGAGACTGCGAACTGTTTCCAGAACTCCCCAGAGCCCTCGGACCCCTCCGTGTTTGCTAAGTGCACAAGTGCTAATTGCCTCCGCCTCCCCGCAGACCTTCCTGCGGCTCTCCGGAGGGCTGTCTGCAGCCTGCAAACATTTGCCTTTAGAGGAACTCCAGTTCCAGCTGCCTCAGACCCATCCCAATAACACTGACAGCTGGGGCTCTGAAACTTTCCAAAGCCTGTTCTGGGGGTGGCCCTGGGGTGGCTTTGGCCCAAGATGCCTCTTTCGGTCTTCTCGGTGAGCCCAGGTGAGATGAGGAAACTGAGGCACATGAGCTCAGGGGCACAAAGCAGCAAAGCTGGGTTCAACCTAGCTCAGAGTTGATGGGGTTTAAAGATGAGGTGGAGGAGAGCATTATATTTTAGTGCCCCCCTCCCTTGGGGGTGCAGGGATAGGGAACCCCAAGTCCTGGGTTACCTGGAGAGCCCCCGTTTACCATTAGCCCAGCTCAGTTATGACTAGTGGTCTCTTTAACTGTTAAGTGACCTGGTTTGGATGGGAAATTCTACAGTCATCCTATTCACGGGCTGCACTTTGAGGAAACCACAGCTACTGCTCAGAGAAAACCATCGCCAAGACACACCATTATTATTATTATTTTCTAAAATTTTATTTATTTTATTATTTTTTAATGGAAGTACTGGGGATTGAACCCAGGACCTCATGCATGCTAAGCACGGGCCCTACCACTGAGCTCTACGCTCCCCTCTAAGACACACCATTAAGTGAGAGAAGCAGAGCAGAGTGGAGAGACTGCATCTGTTTTTTGTGCAAAGCAGGAGGGAATGTGCACATGTGTGCTCACATGCACACGTATACACACATGTGTGCACACACGTATACATACACATACAGACTCACATAGGCCCAGGCTGTCCCTGGCAGGTTCACAAGAAGCTGGACACAGAGGTTGCCTTTGAGGGAGACCAGGAGCCCGAGGAGGGAAATGAAACCTGTATTTTTCAGTGTCTTTTCTTCATTTATTCAACAACTATTTATTAAGTGCCTCTAATGTGCCAGGTACTGGGAAGACGGCTCAATGAAAGAGACACACACATAGTTCTCTCCTCTTGGAGCTTGCATTCTCATGGGAGAGACAGTAAAATAAATAAGGAAACTGTACAGTGATAGGTGGCTGTAAGTGCTCCAGGAAAAGGGAATCGTCGAGCTGGTGCAGGGGTCTATAGTTACGTGAGAAGAAGGGTCTGGGGGTTGGCTTCCATTTTTGTTTTTATTGAAGTGTAGTCGGTTTAGAATGTTGTGTTAGTTTCCAGTATACAGCATAGTGATTCAGTTATACATATATATATTCCTTTTCATGTTCTTTTTCATTATAGGCTATTAGAAGATACTGAATATAGTTCCCTGTGCTAGACAGTAGGACCATGTTGTTTATCTAGCTTCAGTTTTAAATAGACTGATGGGGTAAACCTGACTGTACTTTTAGTGAAGACATAAAGGATGTGGAGAAGAGAGCCAGGTGGTTCTCAGGGGGAAGAGTATTGCAGGTAATAGGTATAGCATGTGCAAAGGTCCTGGGGTGGGAATGTGCACAGAGTGTTAGAAGCACAGCCTGAGGCTCCCTGTGATTGGAGCAGAATAGGAGAAGGGACAGAGAGGTGGGAGGACAGATCACGTAAGGCTTTGCCGAAGAGCAGTCAGAAAGCAGTGACTTGTGACTATTGTCCAGGAACGAAGGCAAAAAACAGGATTTACAAGAGAGTATAAAAGAGTGCACACTCAGGGAACAGTGAGTTTGTTTTTATATCTTTTGGGTAAACAGATCAGCTGGCAGCCAGCAGAGAGATGCATTAGATTGGTCCACAGTTGACAGTTGCAGTTGCTGTGGGTTTTCCAGCAAACCTCAATCATGGAGACCTAGAGCATATTTCGGGCCGTCCATGTGTCCTGCCTGCCAGTGTCCTCCCGTGGGCAGTTTTGCCTTTATCTGGCCAGGGCCGCACTTATGACTCCTGGAGAAAGTCTTGGCCTTGTTGACTTTTGCAAGGACTTCGGCTTTTACCCTGAGGGAGGTGGGCATGCTGTGATCCTACATGTGTGAAAGGCATGCTCTGGTGGGACCCAGGAGAGCTGAGAGAAGGATGTCATAGCAACACAGGTGCCACCAGCAGGGCTCAAGCCAGGGCAGTTGTGGAGATGGCTGAAGTGGTTGAATATTCTGCAGGGAGAGCTGGCCAGAGTCCCTGATAGATTGGACAGGGGACAGGCAGGAAGAGTCCTGCATACTTAGGTCTGAATTTCTAACAGGGATTACCTACTTTGAAAAATAATCAAGCTTAAGAGATTGGAGAAGGATCAGCCTAGAAGGCCACTAGTGAGGCTCCATCCCCTGCCCTCTGTCTGGTCCCAGTTCTCGTGGTCAAGGCCAGGTCAACTGGCTGAGCCCATCCCCCCAAGTGATGCTGGGGTCTTTCCAGGGCCAAAGCAACCTGTGGCCAGCAGCAGATGGTGAGGTCCAGCGGTTCGAGGCCCAGCTGGAGGCGAAGCTGGTGACAGCGGGCAGCCCCATGGTCTTCACTGGGAACCTCAGCCGGCAGGCGGGCGGCAGGCTGGCCTTCTCTGTGTCACTGAGCAACCTGCTGAGTGACCGGGCCCACATGTCAGGTAGGAGGAGGGATCCCCTCCTGCCACCTTCCCTTGGTGGCCAGGCTTCGGGAGGGGAGGGCTGAGTGCCTTACTTGTAGTCCTCATAACCGCGACCCCCCAATATTAACATTCCATCTAAGGAAAATCCAAGCTCTGCATCTGCTCGCAGCTTCTGCTTGCGTCCCCCAGACAACCCCCCCCACGTGCTGACTGCCCCCAACAAACCATGAAACGGCACCTTTTGGACTGTTTTGATTCTGACCCACATTACATGTTACACAGTGTGTGACAAACACATTTTGTATTTTAATCTGAATTACACGGGACACTGCTTACATCTTGAACACACGGCCTGGTCTGGGTGCTGCCCAGTCTGACCTGTTGCCCATCCTGGTGCCGGAGCTGGGGTGGAGCCCCCCTGGCTATGTTCTTTGTGGGGTGCTCTGGGAGAGTCCAGGGGAATGATGTGAGTGGCTGGGGGTGTCCACCCGCTGGCCTGGGCATTTTTGATATTTTAAGTGGTGTGCGTGCGCCTGTGTGATCTGGCTGAAATGTCAGTGTAGCAGAAACAAGTTTCAGAGGGTGAAATTCACGTGAGGACCCATGATGTGCTGTCATTTCTCTTCTGTTCCATTCTATTTTGTTTTGTTCTACTTTCCTTAAAAACTTTTGGTTGGGACCCACAAAAGTGACTTGGGGGGTTGCCACCTGGACAGTGCAAAGCACTGTCAGTGGCCCTGATGCCAGCGTCCCTCCACAGAGACTCAGGCATTGTTTTAGCAGGGACCCCACTGCCCCCGCCACGGGTGGTTCCCACTTCCATTCCTTGCCTGGTACTGGGGATGGGGTGTCTGACCCTGGGGTGTGGGATGACCACACCGTGCCTGCCCGCTCCCTACCCGCTCTCCCTGCAGTGCTGCTGGAGAAGGAGGTGGAGAATGGGCTGCAGGGGGTGGCCCTGGATGGGGAGCTCTTCGTACCGGAGCTCGTGGGACTGCGTGTCCTGGGTCTGCTGCAGCAGCGGGGCCGCCTCTGGACCAGCTCCCTGAGGATCAAGTACGGCCTGCTGGGTATGAAGCCACGTGCTGACTGGGGGCGAGGTGGGGAATGGCTGGACCTGCACCGTCTCCTGGGTCTGTGCCACTGTCATCCTGGGTGTTTTGGCCTCCCTGCACTGCTCCTTAGCCAGTTAGTCATTCCATTGGCTTTGAATGGAGCTGAGCACCTGCCTGTTAAAAAGAAAAGAAATGTATATGGATACGTGTATGTGTTTGGGAGCAACATAAGTGTGTCTCTTAAAACCTCCCCATTGGCAGATTCCAATGAGTCATGTTAGATGGGGGGCTGGCTGAAGCTGGGCTGCACTGGACCTTCCTCTGCTTGGAATGAGAATGGAGGGCTGCCTGGCAGAGGAAGGGCAGGGGTCTTTGGGTTGCCCTGCACAGGTCAGGCGAAGCAGCTGGCTCAAGAGTGCAGCACCAGCCAGAAGCTCTGGGCAGAAAGCGGCTCAGAGGCCACCTATAAGCTGGAGCTGGGCCATGAGCTCCATTGCACACAGATCCCAGCGTTCAGCCACAAGGTAGGTGCCTGGGCTGGGCAGGGGTCTGGAGAGAGCTCCCCGGGTCAGAAAAGTGGTGGGTGAGCATCCTGAACTCGTCCTTAGTTCAAGGTCACATATGGGAACAGATCATGGATTGGAACTTAAGTCTCATATTTCTCTACTCATTCAGTTGGTGTTTAATAAACACCCACTCTGTGCCCAGTAGTCGGGGAGAGCTGTGTTCAAGGCAGCACTTGGTCTCTGCCATCCCATTGCTGGGCTGGGGCAGAGAGCAACAGACGTGGACCAAATCAAGGGGAACATAAATGCCATAAACAGGACAGAGGCTGAGAGCACGTATCACAGGGGAGTCTAATTTGGACAGGGCAACAGAAGAAGCTTCTTTGGGGGAAGCAAATTTTAAGCTGGAAGTTAAAATATGAGACAGCTCTGTTCCCTTGGAAGTGTGCTACAGGCAGAGGGCACAGCAAGTGCAAAGGTCCAGGGGCTGGAGGGTGATTGGAGTGGTTAAGAAACTGGCAGTTCACCCAAGTGGCTGGCAGGGTGAGCGAAAGGGAGAAGTGGCCGTTCTTTTTTAAATTTACTTACTTGAAACATTGTTTTAAGTTTGCCTCTCCCTCGGAACTGTTGCCCCCAGAAAGTTAGGGGCTTCTGGCTCCTTCATTGCTGGCTATTTGGTGCCCAGTGTGGCACCTTCTTGATATTTGGGGTAAAATGTATTTCGTGAATGAATAAATGGATGAGACTCTATTACCTGGACTTGTGGTAGGGGGAGAAAGCGATTGCTAGAAACCCACAGGTGGGAAGCTCTGATCCACTTAGGTTCTGTCCAGGGGGCCAGAGGCTGCTGTGGGGGAGTCAGGATGGGGAGAAGGAGGACTCGGGTTTGTGTGAAGCAGAGCAGGAGTCATCTTCCCATGGCTGCTGGCTCTTTCCACTCCTTATCGGGGCATGGACCACGGTGGGGCACATTAGTTTTTCACCTCAAGCCCAGGATTTAAGGGGGCGTTAAAAACATAGTCATGAAGGTGAACTGGATTCTAACATAGTATTTTACAAAATCCAAGTCAGTGCAAGAAAAATTCATACCTCTTGTAGAACTCTCCCCAGAGAAGCAAGCCTGCATCTCGGGGTGGGTGGCAGTGAGGAGGCTCAGGAATGGGTACACAAGGCTTCCTTGGGGGTCTCCCTTGGTGGGCTGTGTCCCCAGGTCCACCTCCGGCACGAGGAGGACTCAGGCCACCTGCACTCGCAGCTGGAAGTGAGCTACGGGAGGCACTGGGGTGAGAGCGGCAACAAGAGGCGTCTCCGCGCCAGCCAGACCTTCCAGAACGACTCGGGCCCAGCCCTGAGCAGTCACTTCGTGGAGGTGAGCCCAGCAGAGCTGTGTCTCTTCAGCTTAGTTTGCACGTGGCAGCTGGACGACACCCCTTGCGTGTCCCTCCAGGTCTTGGTTGCAAGGATGCAGGCAGCTAAGACTCAGGCTCTGTGACCTTACCTTTTGCATCTCCAGCCTCTAGGCCCCTGGGGGAGTTAAACGTTTGCTGGTGTGGCAAGGACAGCCACGGGGAAGTTTGCAAGGGGGCTTGGAAAATGCAGATTTCTAGCTGTAAAAATGCATTTTGGAAACAATTCATCCTCCCATTTTCCAGGAGATGAGCTCTTTTTGATAAATCAGAACTAACTGAGTATTTAGCCCTTGAACAGGTCTGTGCTGTTACAAGGCACACGTTACCTTTCTGAGTTTCCTTTTAAGTCATTTTTTAAAATGTTTAATTGTGATAAGATATATAACATAAAACTGACCGTTTTTCACCATTTTTAAGTGTACAGTTCAGTGGCATTAAGCACATTTATGTTGTTGTGCAGCCATCACCATGGTCCATCTCCAGAACTTCTTCATCTTGTAGAATTGAAACTCTACCCACTAAGCAGTAATTCTCCATTCCCTGCTCCCCCCAGCCCCTGGCAGCCCCCATTCTACTTTCTGTCTCTCTCTGAGTTTCACTACTCTAGGTGGAATCATACAGTATCTGCCTTTTCGTGACTGGCTTATTTCACTTAACATAATGTCCTCAAGGTTCATCCACACTGTAGCATGAGTCAGAACCTCCTTCCTTTTTAAGTCTGACTAATATTCCATTGTACACGGCTGGACCACATTTTATTTATCCATTCATTCATCAGTGGACACTTGGCTTCCACTCGTGCTTTTGTGAATAGTGCTGCTGTAAACACAGGTGTGCAAGTATCTGTTTGATTTCCCACTTTCCATTTTTTGGGGTATGTACCCAGGAGTGGAATAGCTGGATCATACAATAGTCCTACTTTTAATTTTCTGAGAAACTGTCACACTGTTTTCCATACCAACTGCACCATTTTACATCTTACCATCAGTGCACAAGGGTTCTGGTTTCTCCACATCCTCACCAACACTTGTTGCTTTCTGGTTTTGTTTGTTTGTTTTTGATAGTAGCCATCCTAATGGATATGAGGCTCTCACTGTAGTTTTGATTTGTATTTCCCTAATGATTGATGATGCTGAGCATCTTTTCATGTGCTTACTGGCCGTTTGGGTATCATCTTTGAGAAATACCTATTCAAGTTCTTAGCCCATTTTGAATGAAGTTGTTTGAGTTTATTGTTGTTGTTGTTGAATTGTAGGAATTCTTTACATATTCTGGATATTAACCTGTTATCGGATATGTGGTTTACAAATATTTTCTCCCTTTCTGTGGGTTGTGTTTTCACTCTCTGAGTAGTATCCTTTGATGCACAAAAGTTTTTAATTTTGATGTAGTTCAGTTTATTACTTTTGTTGCCTGTAGTTTAGGTGTCATGTTCAACAAATCAGTTGCCAAATTCAGTGTCACGGAGCCTTTCAATCCCATGTTTTCTTCTAAGAGTTTCATAGTTTTAGTTCTCGCGTCTAGGTCTTTGATCCATTTTGAGTTAAATTCTGTATATGGTATAAGAGTTCAGCTTCATTCTTTTGCATGTGAATATCCAGTTTTTCCAGTACCATTTGTTGAAAAGACTCTTTTTCCCTGACCACAGATGTGGGAGTTTATTTCTGGGCAGTCATTTGTATTCCATTGGTCAGTATGTCTGTCTTCTAGGTCACTACCATATAGTTTTGACTTGATACCATACAATTTTGATTACTGTAGCTTTGTGAGACCTTCAGCTTTGTTCTTTTTCAAGATTTTGTCTGTTTGGGGTCCCTTGAGAATCCATGTAAATTTTAGGATGGATTTTTCTATTTCTATAAAAAAAATACCAGTGAGATTTTGATAGGGATTGCATTAAATCTGTAGATTGCTTTGGTTAGTATTGAATCTTAACAATATTAAGTCTTCCAATCCATAGACACAGGGTGTCTTTCCATTTGTTTCTGGCTTCTCTAATTTCTTTCAGTGGTATTTTGTAGTTTTCAGTGTACAAATCTTTTGCCTCTTGCTTAACTTCATTCCTAAGTATCATGTTGATTTTAAATTATACCAATACTCCATGAATATATTCTCCTTTTGAAGAAGTGTAAAATTTAAAATAAGGTTAAGATTCCCTTTCACAGTTACCATCCACATTCCTGGCCCCCTCCTCAGCTGGAGAGAACCAGGGTTATGGTCTGAAGCACAGGAGAGGGGGCCTTTTTGTATTCGTTTGCTCTGTGGACCTGTCACAACACTTAGTTTTGTTCGGAGAGTCTTGCTGTGTGTCCTTCGGCAATGGATCTTGGAGAACTCCCCTTGTTGTTTTAGAGAAATCTACTGTATCCTTTTTAATACCTGCATCATGTTCCGTGTGCATCTATCCTGCATTTTATTTGGCCATTTCACTCTTGGTGGTTTCTAAGTGTGCATGCCTGAACATCCTGGGGCATGCCTCCATCCCTGGGCACGCGTGTGACGGGGGGCTCTGGGGCAGATGTAACAATGTAGAATTTCCAGAAATGTGTGCATTTTAAGTTTGCTGGCTTTTGCCACTTTGCCTTCCAAAATGTCTGTACCAATCACCCACCTCCCAGCCATGTCCAAGAGGAGCAATCTCCACATTTCCACCAATACTTGAGTTTTACCATTTGAAACATATTGCTGATATGGATGAAAATGGTATCTCGTTGTTTGAATTTGCGTTTCCCTGGTTACAGAACATGAACTTGCTGTTTATCTATTCTATATAGATCAGTTAGTATCTGCAAATCTCTAACTCCCAATTTATCCCCTCCCACCCCTTCCCACCCCTGGTAACCTCAAGATCGCTGCTTGTTGACAAGATAATTAAGGAAGAGAAAGAATCGTCTTTTCAACAAATGATGCTGAGACAACTGGATATTCATGTGCAAGAGAATGAAGTTGGACCCTTACCTCATACCATATATAAAAATGAACTCAAAATAGATGATGAATTTATAATTTTAAGAACTATGAAATTAAGAAGAAGTTACTATAAATTTAAGAATTATAAATCTCTTGGAAGAAAACGTAAGAGTAAATTCTCAGGATCTCAGATTAGGCAAGGGTTTCTGAGCTATGGCACTGACAGTATAAGTAATGACAAAAATACATCAGACTTCACCCGAATTAAAAACATTTGTGCTTGAAAGGACACCATCAAGAAAGTGAAATAACAGCCCACAGGATGGAAGAAAACATTTGTGAATCATGTTTGATAAAGGATTTGTATCTAAATACAAAGCACTTTTATAACTCAACAAGAAAAAGACAAAAGATTTGGATTTCTCTGAAAAAGGCACACAAATGGCCAAAAAGCGCATAAAAAGATGTTCAACCTAGTTAGTCATTAGGGAAATTCAAATCAAAACCGCAGTGAGATGCTACTTCAAACCCACTAGCATGACTGAAATGAAAAGAGACAGACAATAACAAGTGTTGGTGAGAATGTGGGCAAGTTAGAACTCTCATATGGGTGGGATTGTAAAATGATGTGACTAGAAAAACAGTTTGGTGTTGCCTTAAAATGTTAAGTTCAGAGCTACCATGTAACCCGACAATTCTACTCCTAGGTACTCGAGAGAATTGAAACCTTATGTCCACATAAAACTTGTACAAGAAGATTTTAGCACCATTATTCATAATAGCGAAAAAAGTAGAAACAGTCCAAATGTTCATCAATGGATGAATAGATAAAGTATGATTTATCTACACAATAGATGATTATTCAGTAATAAAAAATGAATGAAGTTCTTTGTAAAAAAAAATTTGGGGGGAGTTAATTAGGTCGGTCAGTCTGTCTGTCTGTCTGTCTGTCTGTCTATCTATCTATTTTAATGGAGGTACTGGGGACTGAACCCAGGATCTTGTGCATGCTAAACACACACTCTACTACTGAGCTATTCCCTCCCCACAAAAAATGAAGTTCTGACATGTGCTACAACATGGATGAACCTTGAAAACATCATGCTAAGTGAAAGAAGCCAGACACAAAAGGCCACATACTGTATGATTCTATTTGTATGAAATTTCCAGAGTAGGCAAATCCATGGAACAGAAAGTAGATTAAAGGTTTCCAGAGGCTGGGGGAAGGAGGCAATGGGGAATTACTGCTCATGGGTAGAGGATTTCTCTTTGGGGTGGATGGGGCAGTTCCTTGTAGCCAGGGAGCTCAGACTGTGGTGGAAAGCCAGTAGAATGTCCTAAGTTGGAGCAGCATGATCTAGTTAGCATCTTGGGTGTGGGTCTCCAGTTTGTACTGCAGGTGCCAGGGAGGCAGATGGATTACCGTATGCAGCTGTACCACTTCAGCTTCCGCCAGCCCCATGTGGAGAGCAGCACGCACCTGAAGGTGCAGTACAATGGGCGGCTGCCCTTTGTGGCAGGCTTGCAGTGGAAAGACACATCCAGGGCCACCCTGTGGAAGTGGGAAGGTGAGTGTCGTCTAGGGAGTGCCCTTCACTAAGTCTTTGCTCAAACCATACCCACTACCTGGAACACCCTTCCCTATGGTTTGCCTGATTCACTCAAGTCTCACTTTTAATATGTCCCAGGAAAATTTAAATCACCTCCTGACTTCCTACCCTCGCTGACAGAGCTCTACAGTACACGCTCCTGTCTGTTTTTCCTTCCTTATCTCACCCTACTTTCCCCATTAACCATTATCCTGCAGTCCCACTAGACTCTTTTCTGTTCCCCAAACATACCTCAGGGCCTTTGCACTTGCTGTTCCTTCTCCCTGAAACAGTTTTTCTCCCACTAAAAAAAAACAGATTTACCATAGTTTACTCTTGAATTAATTTTTTGAATTGATTATTATTTTAATTGAAGTAATACGTAGTTTGAAAAGTAATACATAGTGTGAGAAGTGAATCAGACTATGACTTGATAATTGTTGAAGGTTGGGTGAGTGTTACGTGGGAGCTCGTCATATTCTCTGTATTCATGTATGTACTTGAAATTTTAAGTTTTTAAAAAGTTGAAGTTATGACAAATACACTAATTTTCAGCTTCATGTCTTTCCATGCCAAATTTTGCTTAAAATGGCAACCAGTGTAAATACCTTTTGTTCAGAGTAAATTGTGGACCTCAGTACATTTCAGTATTGCATCATTCACTAGAGTGAAATGCACATATTGCCAGGGTACCATCTGGTGAGTTTCGGCAGGTGCGCACACCCGGGAAACCCAAGCCTCTGTCAAAATTCAGAGCATTACCATTGTTCTAGAAAGTTCCCTCATGCCCCCTCCCAGTCCTTCCCAGTTTTGAGATATGCCCACAGTGACCATGATGAGATTATGGGGGTCTCTTAGTGCCTGCCAGAAGCTCCCTTCCTGCCCAGGATACCAGCTCCTCCCTCTCTGCCTCTTGCAGGAGCCTTGAACCTGGATAGTCCGTGGCTGATGGTCTCCATGGCTCACAGGCTGTACTGGCCCCACCGAGCCACATTCCAGGCTGTGTTGGAGCTGACCCTGGGCAAGGCTTGGATCCTCAAGAATCTGGTGATGAATGTGGCCTGCAGGAGCCAGGGCCTCTACAGAGAGGGCAAGATTCACGTCTACGCCCCAGCTACCACCTACCTCCGGGTGCGCATGCTCGGCCATGCCTCCACCCTCTCCTACTTGGCATCGCGCCCCCTCCACCGCCCCAGGGAGCCCGATTTCCTGCCCTCTAGATCTCCCCTGCTGTGCAGAGGGTTAAAGCCGAGATTTGGGCGTCAGTACCAGGTCACAGATGTGTGGAGTCGGGCTCACCCAGTGGTGTTGCTTTTCAGAATTAGTCGCCAAGCGAACTTGGGAGAGTGGACCCCAGAATAAATCTCAATTTGCCATATTCTTGCTTAGCGGCCGATAAAGTAAAACATGGAAAGCAGGTTGAACTGGTACCTTGGAAACAAGTAGATATCAGGTTTTTGCCAATAAACCAGTTTGGAGAGTTCAGGGATGTAGGTTAGTTTTCCGCCAACTGCTGAGTATGATTAAGTCTGCTCCTTTCACATGTTTGATCGTGGAAGCAGAGCAGAGTTTGGAAGAAGACCAGCCACAGCAGGGCTTCCCTGGTATCCCCTGTGGGGACCTGGCACATAAGTCCTCTCCCTGTGTTGGGATGACCAGCAGACACAGAGGGTGATCCAGGCCTGACTTGGGCCCAGAAAGAGGCAGTCAGTGGGCCTGCCTGGGGACCGCAGGGTCCCCTCGAGGCAGGGGCTGGGTGGCTCCAGGGTAGGGTCAGAAGAAACAGGTCACTCCTGGCAAGCTTAGCGACCTGGAGGAGGTCTTTTTGTGACAGAAAAAGCTGGCATAGGCGTGCAAGTGGGGATCGGCCAGCCCGCCCCTGTGGGTGACCCAGCCCAGAAGCAGGATGGTGGCCTGTCCTAGGAGATGAGAGTCGAGGTGTGGCAAGTGATCAGATTCCAAAACTTGCTTGGAGGTGTAGCTGACTGACTGGCTGATAGATTTGCTGATGGGTTGGCATTAGGGGTAAGGGTGTGAAGAAGAGACAAATGACCCCAAAGTTTTGGCTCAGCCAGCTGCCATTTGCTGAAATGGGGAATCCAGCAGGGAGGGACCCGCAGGTTCTTAGGCGGAGACCTGAGCATCAGTGACAGATGGGGCAAGGTGTTAGGGATTTCTTGTATTTGGCCCCATCACCTCTCCTTGTGAGTGTCCTGAGGGAGCTGTGTGAACCAGGGACAGAGGCCAGCAGGGCACAAGGCACCATGATATTCCTCATGGAGCTCGTGCCAAGGGCAATGAGCTGGGGTACAGGGCCTAACATAAGGCCAAAGTGTTCTCCCTCCCCCAGCCCCAGTACAAGCCAAAATAACACCCAGCTCTTCCCAGGGCTCTAAGACCATGACAGGGAGAGAAGGCCGCCTACAAATGTGTGCCCTTCAGGACACCAAGACCCTGCTGGCTGATAATAATGGCCCAGTGAGATCATGTTCCCTCCTTGAGTGGAAGGAGAGAGGGGAAGAGAGTGATCTTCTCTGATAACTCTGATGCTCCCTTTGCTCGGGGGTGAGAGAGGGAGAGCTGTTTTTCCTCCTTCCTCAAGATGCTGTAGGAAACAACCAATTTTGCTTGGACCAATCAGGAAAGTTTTAGCCTAGATGGCATGCAAAGGGTTTTGAAGGATGAGTAGGAGTTCACCAAGTGGGAGTGGGAAGAAAAGATGTCCTGAGAGGAGGAAATAAGGTATCCAGAGGCCTCAGTTACCCTTGCCATCCTCATTGCAGGTTTCCACGGTCACAGCCTTGGCACAGAACCTCTTTCGCAGCCAGAGTGAAGTAGAATCAGCCTGGAGTGCAGCAATACAAAGTGAGATCCACGCTGAGAACAGCCGGGACCTTAAGATCCTTCACTGCTGGTTGAAGGGCCCCCAGCGGGAGCTGAACCTAACAGCGGCCTACAGGCACGCGGAGCAGGTAAGGATCCGAGCGAGCTGTGCTGGAAGCTCTGCCGTCGAGAGACCCTGATTCCCTCTCTTGGGGTGAAAAAGGGCTTAATGCTACTAGCTCAGCTATGATCTCAGGCCTCCCTGAGCCCCAGTTTCTTTATCTGTAAAATGGACTCCAGCCATATGAGCACAGACCCCAGCGCAAAGTTTGGCCACCTGGAGCTGGAAGCCCAGGTCCTTTGTTCCCGCTGGGCGCTTCGGGAGGTCTGGTCACAGTGGCGTGCCTGTGCAATCTCGTGGTCTGATGGGGTGGCGGCTGCAGCCCTATTCAGCAGTGCTTCTTGGGTGGTCGTTCTCCAGGTGATGAGTGGGTGGTGGGAGCTGCCCCTGGGGACTCCCAGGGCAGGATGTTTAGCAGCTTGGTCCCTGTGGGCCATCCCTCTTCATCAGTCTGTTTCCTTGTTGCAGCCGTGGAAGATCCACGTGTCGCTGACGGCTCTGGGGGCTGGTGCCAGGGGCCAGCCTCAGGGCCTGCAGTTGGAGGGCAAGCTGGAGGAGTTGATGCAAGACGGGAGGTCGTACCAGAAGCGGGGGACATTCCTCTTTAGGTACGTGTGGCCCCTTCCTCCAAGCCAATTCCCCTGAGATGTGGTGTCTGCCCAGGTCTCCCCTTCTCCGGCGTAGAGGGTCACTGGGGAGCAGGGTGTACGTTGCTGCCTGGAGGGACCCTCGCCGGCTTGCTGGGCCCAGACAGAACCCAGAACTCGGACACAAGATGCCTCCCTGAGAGCCGTCACATCCCTCGTTCCCTTCTGTTAGTGTGCTAAGGGGGCCACAGAAATCAGTCTCCTCGCTCCCGCCTGAGCGCTGCTCTGGGCATCCATGTCAGTTCCGACAGGAACAGCTGGTTAAAAAGCTTGTTCTTTGTCGGGGGTGAATAGGCACAGGGTTGGAATCAGCAGACACAGCCTGAAGTCCAGCTCTGGGACCTTGGTCATCTTCTGTCAAACAACAACATCAACCCAAAAGTAACAGCAGCTGTCATTTGCAAAGATCTGATTCATTATTTTGTTTCTATTTATTGAGCACCTACTATGTACCAAGCGCTTTTCTGGGCCTGTGGAAAACAGCAGAGAATAAAAAGGACAGAAATTCTTGGGAAGTTTGCATTCTTGGCACATATGTTCTCTCTCATAACCCCACCACTGTGTGAGCTGGGTATTGTTATGTTAGCCCCCACCTTACAGATGGGAAAACTGAGGTACAGAGAAGTCAGTCCAGTCCTTTGTGGCCCCGGGTCACACAGCTAGTGGAAGGCTAAGACTGGATCCTAACCCCAGTCTGTGGCTCCAGACCCCATGGGCTCTCTGCTGCCAAGGGGTGATGCTGACCCCAGCTGTGCCCAGCGAGCTGGGTTGTCGAGGGGACACAGTGGGATGGGGACTGGGTGTTGACTGGCAAGTGTTACTCACAGGGCTGACGTGCGTCCTGATGCTCTTCTCTCTGTGGCCGAGTCTTAACTCTGCAAGTTGGTGACAGGCCCAATCTGAGCCCATGGGCACAGATGTCCCCTGCCCCTCCCAGCTGCTTTAATGGCTTCGACCTGTATCCCCCACTCCACGCCAGGCATCCCTTGACTCTGCCCATCCCGCAGAGCATCCTCCTGCAGGAGACCTTCACGGCCGACAAGCAGCACCAGCGTTACTCCCTGGAGACGAGGCTTGTCCTGGATGGCCAGGATGAGACCCTGCAGACCACAGTCCTGGGCTACCAGGCTGGGCACCCCTACGTGAGTGGGCTCCAGGGTGCGGCGGGGAGGGGCCTGAGGGCGGGAGGGAGCCCCCATCTCCTCTGACCTGTCTCTGCCTGTATGCACATGCGTGGTTGTCCCTCCCAGGTCTGTGCAGGCCTCTCCCACCCATACAACAGCAAGGCCATCCCCAGGAGCTTGGAGGGCTGCGTGGTTGCTTGGAATCGGCACATCGTAAGTGAGGATCCCAGAGACCTTTTCACGCCAGAGGTCCCCAGTTCGTGTTGCCATCATCCCTCAGATGGACAAACAAAGCATTCTCCTGCCTGAGTTTTCTGTTCCACTCTGTCCCCCTGCCTGATCCATCTACTTGACAGGCCTGAGGGAATTTTTCAACCTGCCAGCATAATCCTATCTCACTTAAAACCCCCCGTGGCTTCTCTTGACCCAGCCTGACCCTCTGCTAATCTGTGAGGTGCGGGATTGGGACCATATCTGCTTTGTCATCATGGCAGCCGCAGGGCCTGGCGCATGGTCAGTACTTAATGAATCATTGTTGCTTCAATGCTCTTGAAAATCCATTATATACCTGATTTAGAGCAGGGCTGACCAACTCTTTCTATGAAGGACCAGATATTAACTGTTGTAGCCTTTGAGGGCCATCCAGCCTCTGCCGCAGCTGCTCACCTCTGCCTTTGTAGCACAGAAACATAACGGGAGGCACCAATGAAAGGACGTGACTGTGTGTCCCTAAAGCTTTCACTATGGACTGAATGTTTGTGTCCTCCCCAGATTCATATGTCGAAGCTCTAATGTGATGGTATTTGGAAGTGGGGTCTGTGGGAGGTGATTAGGTCATGAGCGTGGAGCCCTTATGATAAGATTAGTGTCCTTTTAAGAGAAACGGTGCTAACTCGCTCTCGCCACGTGTGAGGACATAGCTGTCTGCAAACCAGGAAGAGGTTTCTTCACGCAGACACCCTGATCTCAGACTTCACGCAGACACTCTGATCTCAGACTTCCAGCATTCAGAACTGTAAGAAATAAATGTCTGTCCTTCGAGCCCCCCAATCTGTGGTATTTTCGATATAGCATCTGAACTAGGAAAACTTTCTTTACAAAAACAGGCCGAGTTTGGCCCCAGGGCCATAGTTTGCTAACTTCTGACTTAGAGGGTCTTAGCATCTGTCTTTCTAGTGGTGAAACTCCTTTGTGCCTGTGTGTCCTTAGCAAAGGATGTCAGGTCTCTGGACTGCAGTTTCCTCATCTGTACGGTGGAGACAGCAACACCTGTCACTTGTGCAGTGGTTGTAAGAATCAGAGTGTAGGACGGCCATCTCTGTCAAGTACTTAAGATGTGCCTGCAGGCCCTCATCCAAGTCTCCTTCTCGATCTCTCTAGGAGTAGAAGCTTTGGGAGCTGACCCCATTCTCCAGCCAGCACTTATTGAGCACCTACTGTGTGCCGGGCCCGGGACAAGAAAGATGATGGTGGTTTCTCCCTTGTGGGGTCTCCAGAGGTCTGTGGGAAGGAGGGTGAAGCCTGACCAGCTGTTGAGCACAGAGACCTGGGACATCACTTCCCTACCAGTTAAACGGGACTATGAGTGGCCCCCACGTTTGGTAGCTGAAGTCCTTAGGGCTCCTGGGGGGAAAGAACGGGCAGGATGACACCCCAGGACACCTGCAGAAATGTTTCCCAGGATGAATGCTTTTTTTCTAAACCGGAGATTGCAAAATGGCCATGTGGGCCAAATCCAACCTGCAGATGTGTTTTGTTTGGCCTGCTGCACATTTAAATTAAAAAAAAAAATGTCGACACTTAGAAGATTTAGGGTAAAACCCAGATTTCTGCTTCCTAATTAAAAAAAAAAAATCCGAAGGTCTGACCCACTGGGCGTAAAATCCCACCTGACAACAACAGGCTGGAACCAACTAGTTGGGGATCTTTTAGTTTAGTTTAATTTAGCTGTCTGTTCTTTTTAAAACCTTGTCTTTGCTTAATGACACACATCTTTCTCTTTTCTTGGACCTCTGTTTATTCCTTCTCCATCTTGGCTCTAAAATAAAGCTGCGTATGCCTTTAAAGACATACACTCACGATAAAATTCTGTGGCAAGACATTTTAAATTTCTCAGTCAACACAGGTAGGAAACGATGGTAACCTGCTACTTGTACTTTGCACGTGGCAGAAGCCAAATGGTTGTTGAGTGAATAAATGATTAAATATGTGCATGCATTTCCTGTTGCTTCTATAACGAATTACCGCAAGTTTAGTGGCTTAAAACAACACAACTTTATCTTGCGTTTCTGGAGATCAGAAATCCAAAATGGGTTTTGCTTGGCCAAAATCAAGGTGTTGCCAGGGTTGCATTCCTTCTAGAGGCTCCAGGGGAGAATGTGTTTCCTTGCCTTTTCTAGTTTCTAAAAGCCACCTGCATTTCTTGGTTCATGGTCCCTTCCTCCAGCTTCAAAGCCAGCAGAGTAGCATCTTCCACTCTCTCTGACTCAGCCCCCTGCCTCCTTCTTATAAGAACTCTTGGGATTACCTTGGGCCCACTGGATAATCCAGAATAATCTCCCCATGTAAGATCCTTAACTGCAAAGTCCCTTTTGCCCTGTAACATATTCACAGGTTGCGGGGTTGAGGATGTGGGTATTTGAGGGCAGAGAAGGTACTATTCTGCCTGCCACACTGTGAATTAAATGTTCTTCCACTTCAGCATGGCTTTGGCCTTGGGGTTTCCAGGTATAACTGCAAGTAGTGATTCTGCGTTCTTCTAGAGATATTTATTGAGCACCTACTATGCGCCAGGACCCATGCTGAGTGTTAGTGAATAGAACAGGTGCCCTGTGAGGCCCTCAGCTATGATCCCTCCAGCCCACTCTGCTAACCCTACCTGTGGGCACTGGGGTTTACCATCCCCGTGCCTATTTCCTTTTCTGGGGGTGGGACAATGTAGATTGTGCTTTTACCCATCCATCTTGTGACCCCCTTGGACTGCTGGGTTCCAAGGGTGGCTCTGCAGGCTCTGAGTGATGGGAAGTCACCTCTCTCAGGGCCTTTGGCTCTTGTACACCCAGGCTCAGAACAGGGAACTCGAGGCCACTTTGAAAGTCAACCAGAAAGTCTTGCTGCACTTGAAGGGCCTGCATCATGACAGATCTCGGCGCGAGGAAATCTGGCACAGCCTGGCCCTGGACTTGGCTCATTCCTCCCAGGTACCTGTCCCCAGGTCAGGCAAGGGCTGGTTTGTGGCCCCCAGGCAGAGCTCGACTGTTGGCGAGAGTAAAGGGTACTGTCTATTCTTTCGCAGCTGAGGTTCCCCCAGGCCCTGAGTTTGAATGGGGACCTTATCTTCAGACGGAGTCCCCAGGGAGCATTCGACGGCAGGGTGGATGCACGGGCTGCTGTCAACAACATCACATCCCAGGTCAGAAGGCTGAGTTCTGCCTCCGTGCTGAGGGAGGAGGGTTTTGACGTTAGTGTGCAGGCGTCCTATATGGGACAGCTGAGGAGGTGGAAGAGTGGCCCTGGCAAAAGAACAACACAGTCCTTATTTTGTCAGTGTGCATGTGATTAATCAAGATGCACTATTGTAATAAAAGTTTGCTTTACTGTGAAAGTTTATCCTCCAGTCCTGTCGCAGTTCAGTGTGGCTCAGCTTCACGTAGTCACTCAGGGACCCGTCCTCCCTCCACCATGTGGCTCTGCCCCAGCTGGCAGATGGGGAGAGAGGGGGTGGGGAATTATACAGGAGGTTTTCATTGGCCAGGCCCCTAAGTACTGCATGCCACTCCTGCCCACTTTCCATTGGCCATAACTCATCACATGACCTTACTCAGCTGCAAGGGAGGCTGGGAAATATAGTTTAGCCGTGTGTCCTGGAGGAAAAGAAAATGCATTTTGGTGACTATATAGCAGTCACTGTAGGCGTAGTCATTAATTCACCATATACAGATTGTGCCTCTGCTGCGTGCCAGGCTCTGTGCAGTATACTGGGGCTGCACAAATGACTGTGTTTCTATTCCCATTTCCAAGGAGCTTTCAAGCTCAAATCCCAGCTCCACTGCTGACTTGCTGTGTGACTTTGGGTAAATTACTCAACCCCCCAATCATCAGTTTTTCTAGCTGTGAAATGGGGATAGTTATAATACCAGCCTACGAGAGCAGGGGTGATGATTAAATAAGATGATAATTGTAAAGCCAGCTTCCTAGTGCCTGGTTCATGGTCAGGGTTAAATAAAAGGTGGCCATGGACATGGGAGGCATGAGCAGGGACCATGGCAGGGGAAGGAGGGGGTCTGGGGTCCCAGAACTGTCCTCCCAGCTCCATACCTGGGGCCACATTTCTCAAGCTTCCAAGTAATGCAGCCTGAGGGCAATGGTGGTTCAATGGCAGAATTCTCGCCTCCCAAGTAATTGAGCCTGGGTAGAATTTAGGGCTGAGAACCGGCGAGGGAAGATGTTGGTTTCTGGCATCTGCTGTGGGGCCTGGGTTTTGGGCAAACTCTGGGATGCCCTGTCCCTCGTTGGTGCCCAGCCAGCCACCTTCTGGGGTTCTCCTCTTCCTCCTCTGCTCCCTCTGACTTCCCCCTTTTCCATCTCCCCCTCCCAACAGGCCTCGGTCCAGCTGAATGGGTCTGACTCCCACGTGGTGTTTTTCTTCCTGCTCAGACATCCCCAGAGACCAGCATTTCCTCCAAACTTACAGGTACAGATGGTGGTCCCTTTGGGATGACCTCAATTGCCTGCCAAGTATTGTCTCCGAGTAGCCAGCTTGCTGGGAGATGGGGCGGAAGGACGGGAGGATGGAGGCCCCATGGAGGGAGCAGAGGGGAGGCCGCCCCATGATGTTAAGCTCAGCCAGACGGCCCCTCCAGAATCAAGAACAGATGGAAGGGAGGTTTCCAAATCCATCATTTGGAAGTGATTGTCAAGGCAAGAAGGGTTTTTAGCTTCCTGGGGGAGGAAAGGATCACATTTCACCCTTGAAAATGGAAAGAAACAGAATTGTCCTCCAAACCCTGTCTTGTAATTGGGCTTCGGAGAAGTTGTATGAACCTTCAAAATGGGTTTTTGACCCTAGAATAATTTGCCCAGTGTTGGGTAGAATTACTAAAGGGTTTCTACAAGGAGATACAGGGTCAGAGAAGGGAGATCAGGCGGAAAGGCTGTGCCCTGCTCACCCAGGGCCGGCTCCTTAGAAAGCTGCCTACTTCGGTTGCTTCACTGAGGAAGCCGTGTGTGCTGTGGACATGGGAATTAGACGGTGGGCTGGGACACGGAGGTATAGATGGGTAATCCGAACACTGATGAGGACCGGAATTTAATAGCAGTTTTTAAATGCCTGCTGTGCCTTCAGCCCTGTGCCTGTGGGTTTCAGAAACTCGAGTGGAGCCTGAATTATGGAAAGTGATCTTTCTCAGAGGCACGTTCTCTCTCGTGTCGGTATCTCTGAAATCAGGATATGTCTTCAGGTCTCCATAGGTTCGTTGTTTCATTAGCAGCCTTTCTGCTTTCGAAGAGACGTATAAAATCATGGCATCTTAGATTCTAAGATTTGCCATCACTGTAATCACTTACAGCGGGATCTGGCATCTGTTGAGTCTTTATTGTGTGGTAGGCTCAGTTCTAAACCCTTTACCTTTTATTTAAACAAAGCTTTTTTGGGAGGGGGAGGTAATTAGGTTTGTTCATTTCTTTCTTTTTTAATGGTGGTACTGGGGATTGAACCTTGGACCTCGTGTGTGCTAAGCATGCGCTCTACCACTGAGCTACACCCTACACCCTGTTCTAAACCCGTCATGTGGATCATCTCACACATGCCTCGTGATGGTGCTGTTGTGGCATTTTGTAGATGACTCTAAGGCATAGCCAGATGATGACCTGTATAAGGTCACCGCGGGCATAAGTAGGGGATCTTGGACAGGAACCCAGGTGGTCTGGCTGCAGAGCCCAGGCCACTCATGGAGGGCAGGGACAGGTCCCGTTGGAAGCTTGGATGCTGGGTCACCTGATGGCTTCTGACTTTACTATTATTTTTAAAAGCAGCAGAATCCTTTACTTATCTCTCTGATTGAGTGGGGGTGGGGGAAGGGAGCAGGAGCCCAGCCTTGCCAGCCCCTGTTTACCGTCTTGAAACTCTCCCAGAGTGTCCCCACGCTGGTGCTTTTAACCTGATTTTCTTTATCACTTCCCCAAACCAAAGAGGCTTTTTAGACATTTTTTTCCTAATTGCCCTCGCTAAGAATTTCTGTAATTCCACAGACGTCCTGTATTTCTATTATGAGCTGATGCATATCTATGCCCTATATATATTAAAGAAATTTTAACCTGCCCCCTGCTGAGAACCCATTGTGCATTTGGGGGCAATATTGCCCTCACTGAGAAGGCCTGGTCTGCAGGACCCTTCAGCCCTCAGAGGCCAGTCGGAGAAACCGCAGTGTCGCCTAGAAGTTCCCAGCCCAAGGTGCATGTTGCAACCACCTGGAGAGGTGTTAGAACATACCCGGACCCCAGCCTGGAGATGCTGAGTTGATTGGTCAAGGGGTCCCCGGCAACCATTACAAAATTAATAAACTTCACTTTTAGAGCAGTCTTAGGTTTACAGAAAAATTGGGCCGAAAGTACGGAGAGTTGCCCACAGACTTCCTTCCCCGCCAGGACAGGTTCCCTTCGTAATAACATCTTGCATCAGTGTGGAACATTCGTTAAAACTGACAGACCGATATTTATTATTAACTCAAGTCCGTAGTTTAAGGCTTCCCTCCCTGTATTGCGCATGCTGTGGGTGTGGCCAAATGCATGATGTCATAGATCGGCCTTTACTGTACCACGCAGAGTGTTTTCACTGCCCCCCAAATCCTCCAGACTCCACCTGTTCCTCCCTCTTAACCTCTGGCTACCTCCGAGCCACTTTCTGTCTTTTCCATTTTACCTTCTCCCCAAATGTCATCTAGCTGGAGTCATTCAGGATGTAGCCTTGACATGAAAGATTGGCTGCTTTTATCGAGCAGTATGCACTTACAGTCTTTCCTGTCTTTTCATGGCTTGACGGCTCATTTCTTTTTGTCAGTGAGTAATATTCCATTGCACGGATATACTACAGTTTATTAGTTCAGATATGGCGGGGCCAGGCATACTTTTTAAAGCTTCCCACGTGATTGCAATGTGCAGACTAGGCTAGGCCAGTTCCTACCCTGTAGATGAGGAAACTGAGGCACAGGTCAGGAAAGCAGGGAGGAGTGGGCCTCCCTGCCCCTGACCCGCTCCTCCCCCCATCACCTTGGTGGGCCTGGCCAAGCCTTTGCTCCAGCCTGACCCCAGGTGTGGCCCCCCTTTATGCTCCGACACGCTCCCCTTTGACCTCCAGAGTTTCTGGGTGTCCTCTGGGCCCCCGAGGACAGTGTTAGGGGCATCCTTTTCTGTAACTCAGTTGTGTGGGGGTCCTCTGCTTCCCCCAGCATCTCCCTTCAGGCATAAGCATGAGTTTTAGAGCCAAGTAGGCCCAGGCTGAATATGTGAAACTCCTTTGAGCCTCAGTTTCCCCATTTGTAAGACAGAAACTCCTCTTCATATGTGTTGTAAAGGACAAGATGAGACTCTGTTCCTGGCCCAGGAGCTGGGGTCAGGGAAGGCTGTCCTTCATTCTTCCCTCTGTCTCATTTCTCTTCCTGAGTGTTTGCTGTGTGCTACGTTTGGTGATGCTCAGAGCTGGAGTGGCTCAGGAAGGCTTCCTGGAAGAAGGGGAATCCTGTGTATCCAGCTCCCACAGACCCTTTCTGTCCCCTCTCTGCTTCTGAGCCCTCTCCTGCCTCCCTGCAGGTGCAGGCGGCTGCCGGGCACTACAAAGGGCGCAGCCTCAATGGCTCCCTGTCTGTGCACACGTCTGACAAGGAGCTGGTTCTGCTGGAGGCCAACGCCAGCCAGGATACCTGGAGAAGCAGCCGGGGCTGGGGTATGAGTGTCCTCCTCCGCCAGGAGGTCCTCAGAGCCCCCAGGACTGTTCGGCTGCAGCTGTCCAGCAAGGTTTCCCCAGCCAGGTGCCGGTCCCCACGTGGCCTGCGAGGGGGGAATGGGGCTCCAAAGGCCAAAGGGCTGGTGTCCTGGGAGATGGGAAGACATCACTCAGGTGCCTTCTTCTGTCGTTCTGGGACCCTGCCTAAAATTACCCCCATTTGTGCCTCTCTTGATTTTAAGGCATTGAGGGAATGGAAGGAGGAGGCATTCAATTTTCCACTTTTATCTTTGCTTTTTCAGTTGTAAGAGCATTCACTGTAGATGACTTGAAAGATTATAATAGCATATAAAGAATAAAACAAAAATCACTGGAGGTAGTCATGGGGAATAATGTTGATGTATTTCCCTCCAGTCTTTCATCTCTGACTATATTTTCACATATTTGATACATCCACTATGATATGGCCAACAAGAACCTGGCGGTATTGAGCCAGCCTGGGTTCAAATCCCAGCTCTGCCATCACTGCCTCTCAGACCTTGGGAAAGACACTGTGCCCTTCTGTGCCTCAGTTTCTCAACCTGCTTCTTAGCTTTGTCCTAGGATTAACTGAACTGTACATGTGAATTCCAGATCAGCATCTGGCCGGTGAGAATGGTCACTACCAGCTGCCATTATTGATGCTACTCCAAGGATGGCAGGTTCTGGGACAAATTAGGTCTCCATTAAATGTTAGTTCCCTTTTTCATTTACACCCCCAGCTTTGGCAGCTTTTTTGAATTCAAGGATGTCTAAGGCTTTGGACGTGGTCCTAGATAACCCTGCCCCCTGAATTACCATCTACAGCTGTCTGTCCATCCACCTATACATCCATCTGTCCAGCTGCCCATCCTATTCCCAATCCAAAAATGGTTTGAGGCAGATTATAAAAATGTATATTGTTCTGGGTCAGGAATTGGCAAACTTTCATTAAAGGGCCAGATGGTAAATATTTTCAGATCTCTGGGCCATATGGTCCCTGTTGCCAGTACTCTGCTGTGATAGCACAAAAGCATCATAGACAACATGTTAATGAATGGGTGTGGCCGAGTTCCAGTAAGACTTTATTTCCTGACAAGTGGTGGGCTAGTTTACGCACATAATTTGCCAACTCTTGTTCTGGATTTTAAAAAATACATGAGGAAATTAAGGTGAAGGGAAAAGAAAAATGGGAAAGTGCTCTAAGTGGCATCAGTAAATGAAATGCATGCTATTTTCTAGAGCTGAGTTGAAGATTTGACTCTGAGCTTCCTCGTAGCCAGTGCAAAAAGAGAAACCAACCAGCAGCTTTATTTGCAAATAATGCCTTCCTTATGGAGAAACACACACACTCACATACTTGTGTGAGTGTGCACCAAGGAAAGCATGGCTTATCTTGTTCCTGGTCTTCGTACTCAAGAGGAGTATTTCCCGTGGTATCCTATAAAGAGCATACCATGTGGATGATAGGGACCATGTCCCCTGCCCCAGTTCTTCAGGAAGTTTAATAGCAGGCTTCTTGGGGCTGTTTTTACTATTCTCATCCCTCACCATAATAACATACATTGATAACTCATTAGCAATACCAGTTCAACATCAGTAGTTCCATTTTATCCTCCACTTTATAGAAGAAGAAACTGAGGCTCAGAGAGGTTATGTCCTTATGCAAGGCCACAGCAGCACTGAGATTCCAACCCAGGTTTGACTGCTCTCAAAGCCGATGATCTTAACCCCCTGTTACACTGCATCCTTGTGGGCTGAGGGCCCAGAGGGGCAGTCCTATGATGGGTCTGGACAGTAGGGTTCTGGAATGCACCTCTTATGGCCTGGCCTGCTCATCTGGCCTGCTTCTCCATCACTTGCCTTCCTAGGATGTGGCTGTTTTCCAAGGCACTGCTGGACCAGAACACAGCACAACTGCTCCTCAGGGCATCCGAGGAGCAGAGGGGAGGCCAGGTCCTGACCCTGCAGGGCCAAGTCCAGCACACAGTGGCTGCCTGGGCAGCCATGCCCCACGTTCTGACCCTCACAGGCATGCTGAAACAGAAGGAGACGCTCAAAGAGGGTGAGGGAATGGGGAACTCCATGGGCCAGGGGCAGTGGGGATTTGGGGCAAGCACTTTCTATGCATCCACAGGGTAGATTAAATCCTGCATGTTTTCTGGTCCACTGATGCTCAATTTCAGCTCCTCACACACTGGTGATACCCTTTTGTCAGAAATTAATACCCATTCTGACAAAGTGAATCTTTCGCTATCTAAATATGAAACAAGCTTCCTTATGCAGGACTTGTCAGAGCCTTAACTTGCTAATGGACTTTGGAAATATCCAAGAGGTAGAATTGGGTGCAGTGTTCCCCAGACAAATTTTTTCTAATGCTTTTTTTCCTTCTAGTTTTATTGAGATATAGTTGACATGCAGCTCTGTATAAGTTTGTGTACAGCATAGTGTTGGACTTACATACATTGTGAAATGGTTATCACAAGAAGTTCAGTGAACATTCATCAGCTCATACAGACCCAAAATTAAAGAAACAGAAAAAATGTTTTTCTTATGATGAGAGCTCTTAAGATTTACTCTCCTAACAACTTCTGTGTACATACAGAGTGTTAATTATATGTATCATGTTGTATGTTATATTCCTGGTACTTATTTATAGTATAGCTGGAAGTTTGTACCTTTTGGCTACCTTCATCCAATCCCCCATCCCCGCCTCTGGTAGCCACAAATCTAATCTCTTCTTTTTCTCCAATTGAAGTATAATTGATGTGCACTATTATATAAGTTATAGGTTGTGCAACATAGTGATTCACAATTTTTAAAGGTTATACTCCATTTCAGGTATTATAAAATATGGCTATATTCCTTGTGTTTTACAATATATCCTTCTGGCTTATTTATTTTATACATAATAGTTTGTACCTCTTACTCCCCTCCCTCTATCTTATGGCTCACCCCTCCCCTTTCCCCACTGGTAACCCACTGGTTTATTCTCTATATCTGTAAATCTGTTTTTTTTGTTGTATTCACTAGTTTTTTTTTATTTTTTAGATTCCACGTTTAAGTGATATCATCAGTATTTGTCTTTCTCTGTCTGACTTATTTCATTTAGCATAATGCCCTCCAAGTCCATCCATGTTGCTGCAAATGGTAAAATTTCATTCCTTTTTTATGGCTGAGTAGTATTCCATTGTGTGTGTAATCACATCTTCTTTATCCCTTCATCTGTTAATGAACACTTAGGTTGCTTCCATACCTTGGCGATTGTAAATTACGCTGCTATGAACATTGGAGTGTATGTATCTCTTGGAATTAGTATTTTCATTTTTTTTCTATATATACCCAGGAGTCAAATTGCTAGGTCATATGGTAGTTCTATTTTTAGTTTTTTGAGAAATCTCCATGCTGCTTTGGCTGTACTGTAAATTGGCTGCACCAATTTACATTCCCACCAACAGTGTACGAGGATTCCCTTTTCTCCACATCCTCGCCAACATGTTTTATTTGTGTTCTTTTTGATGACAGCCTTTCTGACAGGTGTGAGGTGATCTCACCCTTGCCCTAACCCTCACCCTAACCCTAACCGTAAGGCCCTACAACATAAGGAATTTGTAAAACCGTGGTTGCAAGATTCTGCAAGAAAGTTCTATCTGTATGGAAAGTGCTCCAGACTCTGTGATAGAGTTTAGCATGAGTTCCTTTTTGGAAGCATAGAACAATGGTGTTTAACCCAACCTGGGTGTGCAGAGGGGCCAAGGAAGGCTTTCTGGAGGTGGTGACCCTGCAGTCATATTTTGAATGACAGGAGGGAGGTATAAGGGGACTTGGACCACGTTAAGGCCCTACTGGAGCCCGGTGGGGTTAGGACACCTAAATGATTCTGGTAAGAGCAAGATTTCCCTAATGCGTGAGTCATGTATGGGCCTGGGACTGGCTCAGTGGTGTGGAATCTTTTCCTTTGGATGGAAGAGACCTCTGAGCCATTTTTCTATCCCTAGAATTCCAGGTCGGAGCCCTCAGGGCTTCCCAGGTTTCAGTTTTGTTGTCTGTAAGATGGAGTCCTTCCGTCACGGTGGTCTGTCACTCTCTTGAGCAGGATTGAGCACTGATATTAACAGACATGCCTTATCAGACTTGCTGCTTTTTTGCCAAAGCTCCTTTATTTGTGAATTAGTTTGGCTGGTTCTCAGAGCATCCTGGGAGGGAGCTGATTTAATTTGGTCCATTTTCAGATATGCCCTTTCTGACATGCGTGAGAATTACATCATGGACCTAGGAACTTTCTGCCCCAGAATTCTTTATCTTCCTTCCCGAAGCAGCCCAGTCCCCTGGGCTGACCCCCTCCTCTGTACAGCTTCTCTCCCATCCTCTGCAGGCACTATCAAGGTCACTGCTGACTCAGCAGTGCTAGGATTCCTCCTGCGGGACAAGCATGAGAAGTCAGGGAACAGCACTACTGTGCACAGTGTGTCCTGCATCCTTGCCCAGAACAGCAGCCAGACCCTGCCAGGAGAGCTCCGACTGAGGGGGCGACTGCAAGCCCAGATGGGGAGCCTTGGGGGCCAGGCCAGCCTCTGGGCTGACGCGGCCAGCCTGTCTCTGGGTGGAGTCTGCACCTGGGGCCCTGGGCATGGCCAGCTCTCAGGCAGCCTGAGTCACAACATCAGCACCTTGAGTGAAGCAGGTAGGAGGGGTGGACAGGGCCCAGTGACCTCCTGCCCCAGAGACTCTCAGGGCCTGAAGCCAAGGGAGTTAAAGGAGCCCCCAGTCCCCAAATCCACCTTCCAGCTGTCTCCTCCCCCTACCAGTGCCTCCCAGTACCTCCATCTTCCTTGGGATGTTACTCAACACCAGTTGCGGCCCAGTATAGACACACTTCCAAACCAGATGGCAGACAGCCCCTGTTGCCACCCCCTCCCCCAGGACTCCCCCCACCGCCCTCCCAGTCCAGCTTCCCCGGCTTGGAAGCTAGCAGGGCCTCCAGGATGTGCTCCTGCATGGCAGTTCAGAAATAGCTCTGACACTTCTTGGGGACATTTGCATGAGTCCTGGAGGGGTTCAAAGGAGAAGCAGTGAGGGGAGAGCGCAGACGCAGACCCCTACACCCCTTTTGCTTTCTGAGAGCCTGTCCCTGTCTTTGAGGGGTTAGAAATCCGAAGGGGACACTGGACCTATCACTTGCTCTGTGTGGCCATTATGGTGTTTGTTAGGTGGGACCTGGGGGTGAGTCTGCCTCAGGGCTTAGGGGCCCCACCAGAGAGAAGGTGGGATCTCAGAGACCCCCGTTCTGGCTCCGGTGGACCTTAAACTGGGCTCCTCGTTTCTGTAATTCCTCCTCTCGCCCCCAGGACTCCCCTCCGAGGCAGGGATGCTCCTGTCTCACACCCATGTGGCTTCCAACCTCTCAGTTCGTGTGATGCTGGGTAGTTTGGGGGCCCAGCTGGATGCCGCCCTTGGCCTGGAGGGCAGGGCTACCAGTGACCTGGGCAGCCGGCTCCATGCCAGCCTGGGCCACACGGTGCCTGGCCTCAGGCGCTGGGGCCTCCCCTTCACCGTGGACGGCCGCGGACACTTGCAGGTGGGTGAGAGGGCTGGACCCGGGCCCTATGGGGGCAGTGGGTCTGAGGGACACCCACAGCTCTGCTTCTGCCCAGAGCATGGGACCCAGTCTGGCTGCTGGGCTGACAGTAAGCGTGGAGGATGAGCAGCTGCGTATAGCCCTGGAGAAGAGGGAAGCCAGTGGCCACCCGGGGCTGGCCCTAGGGCTGCACCGTGGCCTCTGGCAGCTCCAGGTGAGTGACTCAAGGCCCCCATGTAGGTGGGCCCAAACCAGCCCATGGGAGGGCTGCTGCTTCTGCAAGTTACCTGGTCACCTACCCAGATCCCACTGCTAGAGCCCCTCCCATTGCCTTAGCCCCTCCCACTGCCTTAGCTCCTTCCGCCTTCCCTCCCAGCCTCCCACCAAATTCCCCACCCTCCCCTCCCATCTATCCACCTCACTTCCTTCCTCCCCACCCTACCTTCACCTCTTCTCTTTCTTCTGTCCACTTGTCCTCCTGTCCTTCTGTCAGCGCTTCCTCCCCCACCACCCTAACTGCAAGTGTAATGAGGCAGCCACCTCAGAGGCACTCCTGGTCTATCTGGCAAAATTAAAACTGCTGAGACTCTTGCCCATCAGCTCGTGTTCTGGGTACGTCCCCCGGAGAACCTAGAACACGAGGCGAGGAAACACGGACACAGCTGTCTTCTGCATTGTTCTCAAGAACAAAAAGCAGGAAGCCACCTCTGTGCCCATCACAGCCGTGGTGGCGTGGCTAAACCATCCGAAGTGTGCGGGAGGCCGGGTGAGCGATCAAGGCGTGGGGGCCCCAAGCCAGGCTGCTTCATTGCTTACTAATTGTGCAACTTCAGGCCAGTTGCTTACTCGTTCGGTGCCTCAGTGCTCTCATCTGTGAAATGGGACTGTTAACAATCCTCCTATAGTTACCTGGAGGATCAGATGAGGATCCAGTTAGATCCTGGCCCACACAGGCCCTGTGAGGACATGAGCTCTGGTTGCTTCTGTTTTTGACGATGCTGTGGGGTAGCACTCGGGTCTACACAAACCTCTCTTCGGGGGCTCTCTTGCCAGGGAGGCCTTCACAAAGGGAGATGAGGTCGAGCTGGATCTTAGTACTCTGACTGAGGTCAAGGTCAGGGGAAGAAGCCTCATGCCTATACATGCCCCTTACCCACCTCACTGGTCTCCACAGGCCAGTTGCAGTGGAGACGCCTCGCCTGCCCAGCTGTCAGGGTCTGCTGGGGAAATGTCACCGGGTGGCCTCTTGAAGTACAGGGGTCTTTGTCACTGGCAGGGCAGTGGTGGTAGATGATAGTCTACCTCTGGGG